GCAAAACACTTGAAGCTGGTTATCTTTGTAGGTTAAATATTTGGGTAAAGAGGGATGGTGACACAAGTTTTAATTTTACATCTTTCTAACAATCTGATCGTGGGGCCAGGAAGATGGCTCAGTAGAATAAGTGCTTGCCTGGCAAGTGCAAGGGCCTGAGTTCAATCCCTGATTCCGAAAGAAAAAAACCAAAACAACAAACCCAAAACAAAAATCTGATCGTCTTAGCACATGTATAAACTTCTCCTGTTTTTCTAGATCACTTTATTAGGATGTGATATGAGATAAATTTAAGCACTGGTAGTATTTTCAATATATGGAAGGTGTCAAATTTTACAAACTAGAACTTTACCTTGAATTTTCATTAAGCTTTAGATTTGTCTTTGATGCCGTAATCACACTGATTTCCTGTTAAGTGTGATCTAAGAGGCATTTTGAGTCTATAACAAACTTTGTGACAGAACTATTAGGGACTGCAGCTCTAGGACCAACTCTTGGCTGGGTGTGATGGGGTACTCCTATAATCCCAGCACTCTGGGTGGCTGAGGCAGGAGGAGTATAGGTTTAAACCCACCATGGGAAACTCAACAACTTAGCAAGACCCTACACCTCAAGCTTTAAAAAAAAATTAAAAGGGCTGGCGATGTAGTTTGGTGCAAAAGACCTAGACCTAGGTTCAACACAGGGCATGGTGGCACACACACCTGTAATCCTAGCACTCAGGAGGCTAAGGCAGGAGGATCGCAGTGCATTTTAGGCCAGTCTGGACTACATAAGTGAGTTCAAGGCCAGCCTGTACTACATGGCGAGGCCCTGTCTCCAAAAAACCAAAAAGATCTAAATTCAGTCTCCAGTCCAGAAAAATAAAGACTAACTCTTAAGCCTTGAAGGGCATTTGATGATTTATAAATATAAATATGAAATTAACAATCTATTTGGGCTACAAAAACATTAAAATTGCAACAAGACTTTACACGTACAGTTAAAATACCCATTACATTTAGGAAAACAATAACACATTGAAAAAATAGTCATAAAATTACTTTTCCATTCTCCAGGGGACAGAGAAGCAAAAGAAATGAAATAAAAAGTAAAAACAAAAAACAAAGAAAACACTACCAAAAACAGGGTGAGACAATCATCTGTTTATTAGACAGGGCAAGATCATTTAAGGAGAGGAAACATAACCAAAGAAATGTGTTTAGCTTGGTGTTAATAAGTGTTGCTGTTGACAACAAACAACACTACTCAATACATCATGGGAACAGGCCACATACAACTAGGAAGATGCTGTCATGCCACTCAAAAATAAGCTGTAATGCTTAGCAAACGAATAACTAGTAGGGAGTCACAGAGCATAAGTCTCCACTTCACTCATCTGTGTTTGCTGCAGCTAGCCACTGGCCCATCATTTTGGCTGGTTCCCTCATTAAGGAGCCTTCCTATAGTCTGGAGAATTTTGATTGGTGCACACTTCTCATACTTCTGAATTGTTACTGAAATCAGAGTTAACTGCAGGCTTATTTAGTCCATGATCACGGTATTTTTTTTACCTAGAGAGTAATGGACGATTCAACAGTGCTCTACATAAAGTTTCATACTTAATACATTTAGCACTGTTAAAACTCACTCAGATCACCTTCAGTCCTATGGTACATACTTAAAACAGACAGCACAGAATCACTGGTCTAAATTTGAGAAGAAATTTGGGGCGCTCACCTGGCCCGAGGTATACAAGCTCCTAGCAAAGTTAAACATACCTGACAACTGCTATGTCAATTTTGTGCCAAATTATTTGGCATCATTTTTAGTAGGATTTTCTTGACTGGGCAGAAAAAAGGAGAATTCAATACCTCTTCTAGAAACTATCCTTATTGCAAGCAGTAATATGTCATGATTGCTTGGCTATGAGGAAAAACTATTCAGCATAAGATTAACTGAGAAACCTGTTAGGCACTCCCTCCTGCAATCTGCTGATTTACCAACCACTTCCTTTCATGGTAATAAGTTCTCAAGGTGAGAACTTTCACTGTACAAAAAAACTCCATTTGGGTAGTCAGTCACAAAGAACGAGATACGAATCCACTTACAGTGGTTGCCTAGGGCTAGGGGTGAGTACTGGAAGAAAGTAAGAGGTGACTGCTACAGTGTTTGGAACTCCTTTTGTGGTAACAGAATACCCTACATTTGACTGTGGTCATGGCTGCACAACTTTACGGATGTATTTTTAAAAAATCACTTAACTGTACCCATGAATAAGTGAATTACAAGCCACATGAATTATATATCTCAGTAACAGTGCTACAAAAACACATTAGGAAAGGAAGACAGCCCCAAAAGAGAAGAGAATGAGAGGCTCTTCCAAATTAGTCGTACCTGAGCAAACAACAGACGGGTCTGATATAAAAGGCAGGCTTTTTCGCACAGTATTTTGACTTCATTATTATCACTTTAATCCCTGACTTCACATTCTCATCACATTTCTAAATTATTGTAAGTTACCAACAGGTTCTAACTTTGCTCTCATTAGAGAACAGAGTCAGCATCTCACAGATTACACTGGTAATCGAAAACAAGAAAAATCCAACAATAAAATAATCTTGTCCTTTGAGGCTGTGCATTGCCAGGCAGGACAGAAGAGCTAAGACTCACTGCTAATAAACACATGTCATCAAGTATAAGGGCATTGTATGGCTCTTGCCCAAAGCATATTTCCCTTTATGCCTATACAATTCAACTAAAGTAATGTTTTTATACTTGCACAATTCAACAAGAGCAATGCTTCCTAAAGAAAAGTTTAGCTTCCTGCAGGTTTTTAAAAATTTAATTTAATTTTTGCTCAAAGAGCTAGCCAAGCTTCTCTAAGAGTAAAATTAAAGTTTCTGAATAAATTCAACTCTGTATCCTCATCTTCACCCGCATCACCATACAGTGAAGGTAGAAAATGATAAGCCTGTTATAAATCAGGAGCTACACAATATTCTTTAAATGACCTTAATTCTTTAAACAAACTGAATATATTAGTTTCAAATGTTTAGAACATATTTGGCCCAATTCCTTTACATCTGCCTTTAGATTAATGAGAAGTTCCCTTTAGTTTTACTAATTTACTAGCCTTGCATTAAATAGACTAACACAGACTCGGAATAAGTTACAACTGGCTTAATCACTTTTCTGCACTGTTTACTATTCTTAGGCTACATAGGCAACATAATAAAATCGCAAATGACTTTTTAGTTATCTTCCACTATTCTTAAAACTATATAACCAGGAAAATTCTTTATAGCTAACTGAAGAGAACAGAAGTTGCTTCACAGCAAGCTGAGTTTGTTAAATAGATTTGCAATGACAGAATTTCTGACACAGAAACTGCTCCCAGCACAGGATCTCAGAGAAGTGACCAAACAAGACAGCTGCCATGAAAGCTGGGAGTGGAGGTGTGAGAAGGCATGGCAAATACCTGTGAAAGCAGAATCACTTTTTAAGGGGACATAAGAAAAAGTGAGAAGTCATCATTTCAGAATTTGATAAGGTCATTTTGCTGTCATTTGGGCTGCAAAATGCAATATTCACATGATATGTCCAAAAAACGACTCCTAAAACCTGTAGTGCAAAAGAAATCTAAGAAAATAAATAATTGCAAAAATCATCATCATTTTTCATGTGTCCAAAACACTGACTTTTACAAAAGATGCAAATTTATTTCAAATGAAAAAGGTTCCTACACTAAAGATCAAAGACTCATTTCACAGATAATGTATATACTCTATTAACAATCTCATTAACAATGTACAAACAGGGGCCATAGATTTTTTTTTAAATTAGGTCTGAAAGGGCAATATAAATACTGATTGGGGGAGTGTTTCATACCCCAAACTCCAACATTCAGCTCTGTGTCCTGTCCTGATATTACAATTTGTAAAAATCTTAACGGCGCAGTGAGTCAAGTTTTCGTAGCTTCAATGATGTGTTAGAGGACAATGCATCTTGGTTTGAAGAATTTGTTGTATCTGAAGGCTGGAACAGGACACGACCACGATGATTAAATACATAAAAGGACGGATGATTCCTTAAGGTGTCAAATGTCCTTAAAAGAAAAAATAAAGCATTGATTTTAGATAAATCTTTATAAAAGCCTACTTGAAAATGAGCAGGCTCCTAGTGAATTATGGATTTGCTATGGGTTCTATTTTTAAATAAGTCCTAAGTCCATGAAATCTAACAGTAGCTTATGCCAGAGACTTTTAAAAACCAATACATAGATGGGACCTTTGATTGTTCCCATTTGAACCTCACTATTCAAGTCATGTGATCACTTCACAGATCTGTTTTCTAAAAATTTTTCAAGTACCACAAAAAGTTCCCTTTGGCTCTCTGTACATCCCGTTGGTCAAAATGTTATATTTTGTTCCAACCTACCTAATACTGTTCTATTTTACTCCTTTTTTTCTTGGCCCTTGGCTTGTGATTCTTGGTAGACTACTTTTAAGAACAATAGTGATAGCAGCCTTCGTTCTTTTCCAGTGAGAGTGATATACTCTAAAATAAATTCATAAATACCTTGGTAGATGGCTTTAGTGCTCATTTTTATATATTATTTCCTGGAAAGAACAGGAGAACTTTTCCTTTTATAAAAATTCAAACCTCAAAGTCAGCTCCCCTAAGTATCCAAGCACACCCTCATACAAAGCAAGAGGTGTAATGAGTGATTATTTAAAATGTAAAAACAGAAATAAAAGCAAATGTAAATAATGAAGTCAACGTGAAGGTCGGGATGAGATATCTCTACCACATAAATGTTTACTATGAACACTTTTAGAAAACATATAGGGCTTATATTTTCAGGACCAGGAAGACAGATGAAGTCCAGAGATGGAACTAAACTAATGTAAAGTAAAATGTGAGAAAGAAAAACAAAGTCTGGGGGGGTCGAGGAGATGGCTCAGTAGACTAAGTGCTTCCCTGGCAAGTGGAAGGGCCTGAGTTCAATCCCTGGTTCCACCACCAAAAAAAAAAAGTCTGTGAGAACAGCTTAGAAGAAACACAGGAGAAAAAAAAAGAAAGCAGAACACTACTCTAACTGAGGGACAGAAAAGGGCCGGTAGGCAAAACTTAGGTCACAAATGTTTCAAATAAGAGAGGGGAAAAAAATAGAATAGGAGGAGGGATGGAAGGAAGGAAAGAAAGAGAAGAGGGAAGAAAGAAAGGGGAAGGAGGGTTGGAGCTTGGTTACAATTTCAGAGGAATTACCTATACCTATTTCCATCTATCCAACCAAACACTAACTTTCAGCAACTAATAAATACCACAAAGTATGACCTTATTCTATTATCAATCCTCATGCATTCAATTTGTATTTTTCCTACCATATCAAACACTGCCTCAGTATTTTTACCTCATTACTCATCTATACTGAATAATCAAAATGTAAAAACCCAATTTTTATGTACTACAACACATACGCTGTAGATTACAGAAATAAAGCAAACCTCTATGAAATTAAATGCCTCTGAAAAGGAAAAGACTTACTTATTCTTCAATTCTGAAGTGGCATCCATGTCTTTAAACTCCCCTGCAATATGCACTATCCCGTAACAGGTCACTGCAAAGGCCAGAAGTGTCTGAAGAACTATCTGTCAGTATAAAGATTGAGATTACTACACAACATGCAAATACCGCAGGACACACAAACAATCTCTCCCCTTCTACGTGGCTTCTATCGGGCAGTCCTCAGAGCACCGCTCATCAAGGAGTCAATTCCCACTCAAAATCATTTGTATTCAGACACAATAAAATCTGCTATAAAGTCTGTGGCTTGGCTACAAAAATAGCTCCACTGCTTCAAAAACTGAACAACGTACTCAAATGCACAAAGCCACTGAGTGTACAATGCTACCAAATCACTTAGTTATTAAATATTACTTGCTTCCCAGAGCAAAGTAGAACTTTTAAATTGTTGTTCAGTATCATAGAATACATGGCACATACAGGTATTATATAATGAGCAGGAACAACAGAAAGACACCAACTTACCCAGCACCCGCCTAAGAAATAGACTATTCCCCGTACTTCTCAAGTCCTGTGTGCCCCTCACTGATTAGTTCCTTTACCTTCCTTCTCAAAGTTAACTATTTTTCTTGGCAGGTGTGGTGGTATACGCCTGTAACTCCCGCACTCTGGGAAACTGAGGCAGGGGGACTGCATAGTGAGATTCTCTCTCAAAATAAAAACAACTGGGGATGGAGCTCAGTGTGAGGACCTGGGTTCAATCCCCAGTCCTGCAAAAACTACTGGTTCTGATGGTATATTAATCAGTTCCTTTTTTCCTGATGATTTTTACAGCTATGTGTGCATCTCTCAAACATCTTGTTTACTTTTGCTCATGTTGAACTTTAAATAGTCAAGTGTATTTTCTGTGTATAGCTTTTCTCCTTCCACATTGTCAGATTCATGCCTGTTTTGGAATGCAGTGGAGCGCATTCACTTTCAAAGTATTCACAATACAAAAATGCCACAATTTATCATTTCTTTTTTTTTTTTTTGGTCCCTGTGCTATGCCTAAGCAGGAGCTTTAGACCACTGAGCTACCTTGCCGGCCCAGAACCTCACTTTTTAAAAAATTTTTTAAATTGTGACTTTCTCATACTTCTTTGCTGTATTCTGTACTAAAATTTTGCCAGTATGGCTTTGAAAGCAAATACATCTTACAGTTAAGCTACAAATATTGCCTTCAGAACTTGAAGCAGGAGGGAAGATAGATATTGGAACAGTGACAATCAAGTTAGCATTACATTCTCCCCATCCTTTGGAGTACACTGTTAGTTTACGACAGACTATTGTTTATTTCTGGGTTTCACATAAACTAGGCTGGAAGAACGACATACACAGTTACACAGATTTAGTACTTTAGAATGAGGTGCTTTGTTACACAAGTGAGATTCCAGCGTTGTGACACATGTGCTCAGATTGTTTTCCATTATTTTTACAATATCTACACAAACATTCTTGTGTGTCTCCTGGTGCCCAGGAGTGCAAACACAATGTTGAGTATGCATGTTTACTGGTTAATACTGAACTGCTTTTCAAAAAGGTTGTCCAAACAATAATGTTGAATGTTTGGAATTAACCAACAAGAGCATTATAGGCATATTTTCTTGACTGTGATTTTCTGCATTGTTAAAGTATTCTAGTTTTAATCAGAAGAAAACTAGTTCACATAGACATAAATGGGTGCATCTACAATCAAGTAAAGGTAACGGACTGAGACAACAGCAACATCTCATATCGTCAAGTATATACAGCTAAAGTAAATATCAGTCACAAGCTATTATTCTAAATTAAAACCTAATATACTACGAAATACCAGTTTGCACTCCAACCTCCTGTGTACCAAGGAGACTTTTTTCAATTAAAGCAATGTTAACCAGGATAGGGTCAATCTATGAATTGTTCAAGACAAAGTATGTAATAAAAAACTATCTATAAAATGATACATACACACATATATGCATAAGTTTTTAAAAGATAAATTGTGTTTTGATTAGGTAAAGCTACATATACATAAAGGATAATGTTTATGGATTATGGATTACTTTAAACAGGAGCAAAATTGAAATTACCAGGGAATGGGATCTGTTTTATGTTGTTTTGATTTTGTGTGGTCAGTTTTAATTTTTATGCTTATTGTCTGAATCAGTTACAAAGAACTTCCTACATTTGTTAGTACTAATCCAATAAAAATTGTGAATGAAGCTGGAATATAAATAATTTTGGCTTAATAAAAACTTTATGGTTTATCTTTAGTTTTCTCAGCTTTGTGTGCTTAAACTAATACATTACTAGCTTACCTTGTTTTTAAGCTTTAGGAACTTCTCTCAGAAAACTTAATAAAGCCAAATTATTAGCTGTTTAAATCCTTTTCATATTATGGACTGAGTAACTTTTTTAAAAGACTATTTTAATTACAGTTCTAGAAACCAAACAGAGAAATTTTTAAGGTCTTCAAATTTTTACAAAAAGTGATGAAAAGTAGGAACAGATGTTATTTCATGTTTGTAAAATGTTAACAGAAAAAAATTATTTAAAAAATGATCACAAGCAAAATGGCTAATATTAGGAATATATTTTAATAGAGTATAAAGGGCCAACTTACATCTATTGGCAGTGACTCATCTTCTTTTTCTGTTAATCGCATATAAGAACGATCTAGAAACCAGAAGCACACCATTAAGGAAACTGGAGGCCATTTTTCTTTCTTAAAATGCAAGCAAATCAATATGCCAAAGTGGTTGCATTAGATGCTACACAAAGTAATGCTAATCCCAGATTCCTCAAAACCTCTGTCTTCCAGGGCAAGCAGTCTTAACAACTACAGGTATTTTATTCTCATTACAACCTGCTTTGTCACCTTATAAAATGAGGCAGAAATACCTAAGCATAATTTCTCTTTCATTACTACCTAAAACTAGAAACTTCTATAACTTTTGACTAAGTGGTCAAAAATTCAGAATTATTAAAAAAAATAGTAAATCTACAGAAAATCCTAATGCTGAGCAGTGTTGCCATCACAAAGTAAAGTGAATGGAATAGCACACAGACATGTTTCTCTTAAAAGCACAAGCTGTGGTAAGTGGTGGAGTAAGAATTCCAAGAGCTCGGAACTGGGCGTGGTGGCCCACGCCTTTGGTCCCCCTGTAATCACAGCACTCTGGAGGTTGAGGCAGGAGGATCACTGTGAGTTAAGAGCAACCTGAGGGCTACAAAAGTGAGGGCAAGGCCAGCCTGACTGCACAGCAAGACCCTGTCTCAAAAACAAACAAACAAACAAACAAACGAAAAAAGAATTCCAAGACCTCAATTGCTTTTCTACAATTATTTAATTATAATTCTGTTGCTGCCTTAACCTCAGGCGGCAGGAAGAGATAAAGGAAAAGAATCAGGATTCAGAAGCTGGTAAAACATGGATGATTGACCAACTCTTCAATTTACCACAATTTACTATATCATCTTCAAGTTAAAAGATCTTTAGTAATTGTAAATTACTGCTAAAATGGAGGAGAGGGGTAATGTGTCATAGCATCCAACAAATAGCATTTTTTCTTTTTTGGGGGGGAGGTACTGGGAATTGAACTCAGGACCCTGTGTTTGCCAGGCGGGCGCTATGCCACTAAGCTATATCCCTGGCCCCAATATTTTTTCACTGACTGAATTTTCCTAGCAGTAAAATGGGAACAATGGGAGGATTAAAGGAGGTTCAGGGCTGGAGATGTAGCTCAGTGGTACAGTGCTTGTCTTGCATACACAAGTCTATGCTGAAAACCAACAAACCCACATGGTTCAGTGCAGGATTGGTATACTATGAAAAGAAAGGTTTTTATGGCACACATGATGCCAAAATGCCTTAATGTGCCATCTGCTCCCGCAACGTGACATGACACAGTCTCAAAGATAAGTATGTCTGTTGCCAATGTGAGAATTACAAAGAAATGTCATAGTAGTGACAAATCCACAAGGCATGCCCCTCACTTGAAACATAAAAGTATAAAATCTCTAATTTTAGATGAACTTAAGACAATCATTTATTTCATGTACTAAAGATGTAAAATAACAAACTGCTTTGAGTGTATGCATTTTGACTCTTTCTTAAAAGACACTGCATTTGGGGACATATTCTAAAGTTTTAATTTATGAAGCTTATATGGAAAGGAAGAAAAAGAAAAATCAAACTGATACCAACAATACGATGTGGCCTAACCTCCTGCTGTCCGTTCCATTTCCAGCCAGCTTTCTTGTTTGCATGAAGCCTAATCTGGCTCTAATACTATCTTCGGGGAGACATTTCTTTATCTGTAACATGAAGGGGATGGACTGTGGTGCTCTCTGAGGGCCCTCTTATTCTATGATCATGTAAACTCACTACTGACACTAATTGTAGAAAATATCACGGTCCTCTGGTATATTCTATCTCCTCCAGGACATTGTTTCTCAAATTAATGTTTATAAAATCACCTGGGGATCTTTTGAAACCACAGATAGTGATCCAATGGGTTGGAGGTGGGGCCTGAGCACCTTCTAACAAGGTCCCAGGTGACACTCAGGATGCTGACCTGTGAACACACTTGGAGCAGCAAAGCTCTAGGATACTTTCCTGAACACCCACTTCTTTCCCCACAAGTTATTGCACACTTACACACCTCTTTTGGTTGTTTCTTTGAGACAGGGTCTCACTAGGTTCCATTCAGACTGACCTTGGACCCACTACATAGCCCAGGCTGACCTTGAGCTCACAGGGATCCTCCAGTCTCAGCCTCCCAGGGCTGGGATGACAGGCGCGCACCACCACGCCCAGCACTTACATACTTTTAAAACATCACTACCACTTTACTGCGATTATTTCTTAAGCCATTTGTTCTCCCACTAGCCTATGAACTCCCTTACAGCATCACTGTATCCAAGTCACCTACTCACTTTAACCAGTGACAGGAGACTGGATCCCCTTCCCCCGCCCCTCCATCTTTTTGAGTAGGGTATCATACGCAGTTCAGGCTGGTCTTCAGCTCACTTTGTAGCACAGGTTGGTCTTGAACTCGAGATAATCTTCCTACTTCAGCCTCTCCTGTGCTGAGATTACAGGCGTGCACCAGCACGTCCAGCCTGGAAACTGGATGTTTATAATGCAGTGTGGTACTTATCCTTTGCCCAAGGTCACACAGATTTTAAGCAAGTCCTTAAAAAACCAGGCCTTCAGACTAACTATCCAGTAGTACTCTTTCCTCATACAACATCACTGTGCCTCCTTGGAGCAATCCGTCCCTTAACATGTCAGTCATTGCCTGGATAGCCCAAGAGTACCAGTTCGAGACCAACCTGGTAAAATAACTACTGTCCACCTAGTTGTCATGAAGCTATGAACGAAATTCTCAATATCACGCTTTGCCTTATCTGCTCTATGCTGGATCTCACATCCCTTGTCCTGCATTCCTGGACAGATTCCGCTTAGAACCCGTTTTCAGACACCCATTCCTACCTTCTTGCAATCCAGGTACCTGACACCCCGCAAATTACAAACCCTGCACCGCTATTCGGAGCCACCTGAAACTGTGAGGTGTCAAGCGACAATTCTTCCGACCCTCCGTCTGACAGTGCCTTAGGGCTGTGCCCACACACAGCGACAGAAGTCCACGTCCCTGGGGTTTACTTACGCTGTGCGGCGGAAAAGGCGGCGTGTGCTAGGGCAAATAGGCCGATGCCTACTAGCCCCTTCCATAGCGATGGCGCCATGATTCGGAAGGAGCAGAAGGCCAAGAAGAGCGGTGAAGGCGGACAGAACCGTTCCCTATTCCACCGGCGGGTGTCGGCGCGGCGCAGAACGATGACGTCACTGAAGCCCCGGGCGCGACGCACCTTAGTGGTGCAAAACCCAGAGAGCACCGAGAAAGCGGAAACAGGAATGCCGGGAAGAAGGGTAAAGCTACACCGAGAAGGGTCCGCGATCGCTTCAGAAGCCGCTCGGCTCAATCTGTCTGTGAAAGGCGGGGTGGAGCAGAGCGACTAAAAGGGAGGGGGAGCAGGACCAATGGGAAAGTGAAGAAGGAGGGCGTCAGCCAATGAGCGCGGGCCGTGGTGAAGGGGCGGAGCCCGAGGGCGGCCGGAGAGGAGTCTGGGTGGAGGGAATGCTGGAGGTGGTCTTAAAAGTCGCTGGTTGCTAGGTTCACACCTCTGACAGTCATTGTTTATTGGTTGGTTGATTGGATTTAGTTTTCCTTCAGGTTCTGCCGGTGATTTTCTTTAGGTCTTTCCTGTGTTTGTGCTCTCCGCATATTGGCACTGCGGAAGGAGGCCAGAGTGTTAAACGAAGAGGCAGGTGGAGTCCCTAGGACAACAACCCGAGCTTTGGCGTTCGAACCCTGGGCACGTAGGGGCCCACCGGTAAACGTCAGTACGCTTTGCTTTCCCTTACCGTCGAAAAGCCTTTTCGCAAGATTCGCGCCAAAGGGAAGTGTATTGCAGCACGACAATTTAATCTTGAAGAGAAGCAGCGTGCATTAAGGAAAAAAGGAAAGAGAAAAAAACAATGTTGCTATTGACCCAGCGCGCGGTCTTTCTCTCGCACTAAGGTGTACTTCCTCGTTTTTATCACTAAAGTGTAGGCATTCTGTAGTGAGATTCTCCCCCTAGACTTTTGCTCGGCTCTCAGCCTCCTACTTCAACCGACATAGATATCACATGATTCTGCATCCACGTCTCATCTCTACTGCATTATCTTTGCTTAGCTCCTGATCTATCTGTATTTCCAGGTGTGTGCTCCTGTGGCACACAATTAGTTTTTATAAGAGCAGAATATATTTATTGGGGTAAGAAAGCATCTGCCAGACAGACAGAAGGGGTCCTAAGTGGGTTTCAAGGACCTTGCCTTTTAAAGAAATTTATATAGAAAAAAAATGGGCAAGGCCGGTTCAAGGCGTGGAAAAAAGGGAAATCACAAGGTGGGCACGAGGTGGAATGGTACACAAACGTATAAGGTCTTTTGTTTTTTTTCTGGCAACAATTCATCCAATGTCCCCTGGCTGAGTGGCTCACCGTTATAAACTGCATATCAAACGGTAATTGCAAAGTACAATTACCATTGTGTGTGTGTGTGTATGTGTGTGTGTGTGCCGGAAATCGATCTCAGGACTTTGTGCTTGCCAGGTAGGCACTTTACTGCTGAGCTATATCGCTAGTCCCAATGATTACCATTATTTTCCTTGAACTGTGTGGGAATTATGTCTTTATTTGCATCAGTTTGCTCACTCTTACCTGCACAAGATGCCTGCCTTTACCACTCCCCTGAAATTTGCAGCATTCTCCTTTGGGGCCCCCTTAACTTGTTCTATTTTTGTATCACCTAACCTACTATATAATATATTACGTTTATTATGTTGTTGTTTGCTGTCTCTCTTCTCTGCTGAAATGTGAGCTTCAAGAGGACAGATGTCTCTGTGCCTAGAACATTGCCCGTTGGTAGGCATTCAAAATGTTTGATAAATGAAGAATGAGCAAACTATGGAAAAGAAGTGGGAGGGATGTGTCTGTGAGATCTCTCCAGAGAGTTCCTCTGTTATTTTGAATTGAGTTCAGAAATCCCAGTGGACTTCTCATATACTGTTCTTTAGTGTCTTTCAACCTAGAAAATAAGGAAGACATCCAAGTTTTAGCATATTGCATCCACTTTACCTATATAATTCTTGTCCTGGATTCCAAACTGAAGATATGATCATTATTTTTCTTTGTGCCCTTTCCAATTCCTTCACCCATAAAGCAAATTTTTACATAGTCTTAGCTGAGGTCAAGTGTGCTATAATGTATTCCTTACAAATGTGGTCTTACTTACAAGCTTCATAATCAGGAACAACCAACATGTAGTCACTGTATAGTTGACAGGAAAGTGCTTCCTTCCCCACCCTTGGGAGTGAACAGAAAAGATATTTTTTAAATGCTTTAGACTGGATAATGTTCAAATTGAAAGTAGACTACCACGTGCTGGCAAGATAGCTCAGTGGACTAAGTGCCTGCTTTGGCCAGCACAGGGACCAGGGTTCAATCCCCAGTAAGGCATGTCGTGCTGGCCCCGCCCCTGGGGCGCCCAGCCCAGTTGGGTGTGGTGGCTCATGCATGTTATCCCAGCGCTGGGGAGGCAAAAAGCTGCGTGGTGAGATCCTGTACCAAATACATCTATGAAAAGAAAAAAAAAGGAAGTAGACTATCCGGTGCCCAAATTAAGTTACCTGTTCTAATATTAATTTATCTGAAGCTGAAAATGAGTTTTCTTAAAGGGTCTGTGATCCAGTTCCTTTGTTTTAAAAATATGGAGTTGCAGAAAAGTAGATCAGCAAGGATCCTGAAATGTGTTTGTATAAGCTATCCATGCATTGGTCTAGTCTTCAAGTGACTTATGTTCTGGCACTGAGTTTTGTTTTCTCTGTTGCCCATCCTCTTTTAACCTCTTAATTATGTTTATGGAGCATGATTTTAATTGTCTTATCTTTAGATTCCAACCTAAAGAGAAGCCAAGGAGCTTATAATGACAGTTATCAAAGACTGCAGCATTCAACTAAGTACCATGAGTCCACTCATCATACATGGTTCTGCCAGTTGAAGTTAATCCCAAAGGTGTAAGGTGTAGCTCATGGCAGCATTCTTTTTCGTGAGCTCTTGGAACAAAAGTGAAACCTTGTGAGAAACTGTTTAAGTGAGGCCAAGCATGTTGGTGCGTGCCTGTAATCCTAGCACTCCAGGGGCTGAGGCAAGAAGATTGAAGTGAGTTTGAGGCCAGCCTGGAATATGTAGTGAGTTCATGTCCTGCCTGAACTAAATAGCAAGACTGTCTCACCCCCCAAAGAAACACATAAAAAATTCCTAAGTGATCCCCAAAATGCCTTTAGTTTTCCCAAAGAAGTAGCCATTCTCTATATGCATTGCAGATAAATAATACATATATTATTGAAGGTGGGGGATAGTGTTCTCTAAAATATTTTCTACAGAGAAGTGATTTTTGAAGACATGTAGGTTTTCCAGAAACATCTGTTGAATAGAGAAAGCACAGCTAACCGAAAACTGCTCCTGAGTTCTTTTACTTTGTTCTGTGCCACCCAGATGAGTGTCTTTATGTGTTCCTCATTTGTGTCTCCAGTTCTCATGGGGGGTTCTCCACCTGCCACATTTTATCCTACTACCTAGTTCAAAACTCAGCTTTCCCTCAGGATATGTTCTTGACTATTGTAGGTGTCTATGAGAGTTATAGATTATTGTAGGTATTAAACTTTTCTTAAAGCTGTTTATATTTAGTACATCCTCTCTGGGTTACAAGTTCTGGAACCCACTTCTGCAAAAAAGAAAAATTCCGAAACCAAAAACCAGTATTTTCTAATAGTGTTTGTGGACAGGATATCATGTCTGCATCTTGTACAATGAATAACCACTATGACAACAATATGCAATGTATTAATTATTGAAACTGTGCTAGTAATTGGTTTTGCAACTGTCTCATTGCTATTTGTTTCTATTAAAATTAGAAAATCAGTATTTTCAGTGTTGAAATAGCATCCTCTATTTTTCTTTGCAAAAGTGATGTGATATATAAGAAATTCAGATAACAACAAAAAATGTATTCCTCTTAAAGCATTAAAGTGGTGCCTTGGTATTTTGAGTTTTTAATCTTAGTAAGTCTGTGATTTAATGATTTTTATTGGTTAAATTTTGTTTGTTTGCTAGATGGTTTTTATCACAGTGGTTACAATTGTTTGCTCTCAAATCAAATAGGGCTTGAATCTTGGCTTCTCCTTTTGCACTTCTGAGGGTCTAGAGAAGTTATGTAACTTCACAACAGTGCCTCTGTTTCCTCATCTGTAACCTGGGAATATTAATATTGCTTGTTTCATAAGGTTGTTGTAAGAAATGAGGAAGTCAAAACATAAAAAGTGCTTAGAAGAGTTTTATACATAATGAGGTTCAGTAACTGTTATTGGATGTTTTTTCTCTTTTTCCAAAGTGAAAAGATTCCTAATACCTTTAATGTTTCCTAAAACATGAGTTTCTAATCTCTTTGATTATTGTAACTGTTCTTCTCTGGACTGTCTTGGATGCAGTGTCTTCTAGGTTTCATTACACATCTACACAGGTATCCTGTTACTGGAGGTTAACACGATCGTTCATTTCAAAGAGCCTTTCTAGTGACACTGAGTATCTTACCTGCTTTTTAGCAGATTGTGTTGGTCTATTCAGGAAATAAACTCTTGAAAATTCCAGCATCCTTATTCTGGATTCTAAATTGTACCTGTCACCTGATCTTTGTCCTTTTTCAATATAGATTTTTCCTATACTCCTGCCTGAGTATGGAATCTCTTTCAGTTTACACTTCAACTGAATGTATGTGCACAGGGGAATTTAATGCTATCTGCAAACATGGTATGTTCCTTGGCATGCTATGAAATTTAAAGGATTTATTTAGGCTGAGATATGTTTCATTGGTCAAACATTTCTGCTAAACGGTGTCAGTAAAGGAATAAGTGGTAATTACTCTGCCTTCAAGGTGCTTGGAATAACAATCTTGTGCGTCCAACACGATATTTTTTTTTTGTTTTTTGGGGTTTTTTTGGTGGTAATGGGGATTGAATTCAGGCCTTTGCGCTTGCCAGGCAAGTGCTTACTCTACTGAGCTATCTCCCCAGCCCCCCAACACAATATTGTTCCAGGAGGCCTAGCATAGAGATATTCAGAGAGGACTCTGGGAGTCCTTAGGAAGAGGAATCCTTAATTCAGTCTGAGGGCATCCTGGAAAGTTTGTTGACCTTTGATCTGAGTTTTCACAGACAAATAGAAATTAGTTTGGAGAGGAAGGAGTTGAAGGCCTATCCAAACAGAACAAGCATGTGAGAATCCATATAGATGGTGTGAAACCATGTGATACATTCAGGGAAATACAAAGAGTTTGTTTTTATTATTTATTTGTTTATTATTTATTTATTTGGTACAGGGTCTCGCTATGCAGCTCAGAGTCCTAGTGATCCTCTTGTCTCAGCCCTCCCCCAGCACTGGGATTACAGGCCTCGCCAGCATGCTGAGTTGGCCTGTAATCCCAGCTCAGCATGCCTGGGTTCAGGGGCTGGCATGGCATACAGTGCTGAGGATCGAACCCAGGTCCTTGCACTTGCCAGGCAGGCACTTAGACTGCCGAGCGATCTCCATGGCCCCTTACAAACAGTTTAGAATGGCTGAATTAAAATTATTGGGGGAGATAATAATAAAAAGATCAAGAGGTGATGTGGAGCATGTGTGCCAGGCTAAGGAGGTAACGCTGAAGGTAGTCAGTGCTCCTGCAGGATGTGGAGCAGGGTATAACATGTAAACAAGTTGTGTTGCAGAAAGTACCACATCCTCAAAGGGCGGAGGGATGGTTGACAGAGACTAACACCTAACAGAGTGTGCATACATTTACAGAAAGGTCAGACAGTAAATATTTCAGGCTTTGCAATTTCTGAGTCTCCAGAGAGCACTCAGTTCTGCCTTTATAGGAGAAAAGCAGCCCAAATCAGTAAGTAAACAAATGGGCAAGACTGTGTCTAATAAGCCATTACTTATGAACAAGGAAATTTCAGTTTCACATTTTTTTTGTATCACGAAATATTTTTGTCAGGCCTTAATGATACAAAAGCTGCTCATAGCTTCAGCCCATACAAAAATAGGTGGCAGGCTGCATTGAATCCTTGGCCTGTGGTCTGATCTTTGAGTACAGCAAAGGTAGATGGCTCTTGAGAAGCTTAGCTCTCAAGGGGAGGGGGAAGAAATGCAGTAATGACAGGGAAGGGCTGTTTATCAGAAATGTTCTGAAATTAGGAAGAACAGAAATGGGGAAAGGAGTCATAGAAGACAATGGAGGGGTGATAGTTGAAGTAGATCCTGGCAGAGGCTGGAAAGTGATAGGATGCAGAGTACAAGTTGAGGAATACCCTTGGAAAGGAGGAGAGATGCATCTTCCACTGAGGCTGGTGGGAAATTGGGATGGGTGGGCACTGATGGGATATTTAAGTAGATGGCAGTGTAGGATTTTTCCAGAATGCCTTAAGATTTCCACTGAAAAGGAAGCAAGGCAAGAATTCCAGGTGAGTTGTCTGTCTGAGCACGGGAGTCACTAATGATGACATAGCTGGGATAGGGCCAGCAAGAAGGAGGAAGCCTGTGAACCACGTGTCCAAGTACTCGGTGAATGTGTGGGGGTGACCAGGAAGTCATTAGAAGTTGAAAACAAGAAAAGAAGGTGCCAGAGCTTCCCAAGGGCGTGGGAGTAATGGGTTTTGAACAACCATAGGGAAGGAGCAAAGTGCCAGGTCCTCCTTCCAACCATGCGATACAGGGTGTGCTGTGTGCCTGTGTGTGCTGGATGGTGGTTTTGTGACAAAATGAATGAACTGCTTCCACTTGAAACAACTCCAGGGCCTGTGGTGTCCTGAGCAGTGAAGAGAGATAGAGGGGTTTCTTCATCTTAAGGTCAGGTTGCTGCCAGTGGGCACTGGTAAAGGGAGGGCTTGGAGGAAACACTGATGCAGCAGCTGAAGTAGATCCTGTTTTTTCATGAGGGAGGATATTCCAGAGAGCTCAGTGACCAGACTGGCAGTGACAGGAGAAAGCGGGGGTGGGGTGGGAATGAAACATCTCAGCAGTGCTGGGCTGAGAAGAAAGACATCAACAGAAGTGGAGTATGGGATTGAAGACATTTGTGAACTGTGGTCAGCAGGGCAAATGTCTGAGTTTGTTTCCTCCAAGTTACAAACCCTGAGAGAGAAGAAAGGAGTTTTGTGTTGCATTCTTAGGCCTGAGAAGCAGGTAGCTATTGTAATCGGTCTTCCAAGGCATCAAGATAGTGAGACATCTCACTTGAGTTTCCTCCCTTTTCCTTACCCATCCCTATGTGAACAGGGCAGTGTGGTTACACTGGAGCCAGGATTCAAGGACAAGCAGCTGTGGGGGTTCCTGGGAACATAAGCAGGCGATAGCAGAAGAGAATGAACACAGTCTGTCTCCAGTCTGGAACAGTTCCTGACCTCACAAGGACAGAACTTGCAACAGAATAGCATTCAGGGTGTTATGGTTTGATTTTTTTAGACCTCACCATCCTTACAGAGCTTAAAGAACTAGTTAGTGGGGGTCAGTCCACCACACTAGGGAATGTGGCATTGCCTGAGTGTTGTTTTGGCAAGGAAAGTATATGACCCTGAGATGAAAACATTTGAGAACCACAAGTTCTAGAAAGAATCATAGGAACTGGATGGGTAATGTCCCTTCATGGGACCTGAGGAGTTTCTCCAAGAGGAGAAGGAATTCAGCTCAGCCTGCCAAATAGGTTCTTGACACTTGTCAAAGAAAAAGAACTTCAGGACATGTTAGTGAGAGGCCTAGAAAGGTTTCATTAGGCAGAATTAAAGTGACAGATTCTGGCTCTAGTAGGAATTGCTGAATTATTACAGTGGTCGTCTAATATGGCTGAAGCCCTTAAAACAACAGTTTATCTTCCCAGAGACCACCTCCCCCTTATTCATTCCCCTCAAACCCCACTCCTAGCAAAAGTCCATAAAAGCCCCATCTTTCTTTGTCTCTGGCTGGAGGATCTCCCTGCCCCATCTGCCCTCGATCCTCTCCGTGTCTGCGGAGTTAATAAAGGCTTCTTTTATCTTTCCTATCTCTTTATTGTGTCACCAAAAAACTATCATAAAGAAGTACACACTCAAAACAGTGTGGGCTTTTTTTTTATTTAAAGATCTTTTTTTTAAATTTTTATTTGTTTATTTATTTATTGTGTGTGTGTGTGTGTGTGTGTGTGTGGCCAGCTCAGCCCACCAGGGGGCAGGGCTGGCTGGCATGTGGTACTGGGGGATCCAACCGCGGTCCCTGTGCTTTGCCAAGCTTGTTTCAAGTAGGTGCTTTAGACCACTGAGCCATCTCTCCAGATGTGTGTGTGTGTGTGTGTGTGTGTGTGCGCGCATGCATGTGTGTGTGTTTGTGTATGTGTGTTGTTGTTGTAGTTGAATGTATTAGGATGGATAGCTAGGATGTTTGCACTAAAAAATACTCTTTGAATCCTTGAATCAGTTTCTTCATCTTAAGGTCAGGCTTATACTATCTTTAAGGAATTTGGGTGTGATGGGCTGGGAAGGGGGAAAAAAGCAAGCCTATGGAGTACAGATATGGATAGACATAGGTAACTTTGCTTAGAGAAGTCACAGTCCTCTTAAAAGTACAACTTTAAACTTACGATTGTTTCTCCTTTCCTCAGATGGTACCATGAAGAATTTGAGAAAGGATACTGTACACATTGTTAGGAGGAAAAGACTGAGTTTATTTCAACAAATTTGTAGTTGCTCAATACCCAACAGATTGAGGCTTGAAGGGAGGATGGCAAGCCAGGGCTTGAGATTTGTAGCTTATTCATGTGGAGACGAAAAGTTTAGACAAAACAAAGAAGCCACACAAATGAAGGAGTGATCTGAGAAGTATGGGGAAAAATAGGAATATACTGTTCTCTAATACAAAGTTCAACTATGGAGGGGAGAATTATGAAAATTCTGGTGTATAAGTTGGCCGAGAGGCTGACAACAGAGAAAACACTTTTGGAAGGAGATGAGAGGGCTCAAAGATGACTCTGAAACTGGGAGACTTTTGCTGTAACACTGCAGTAAAAAAGTAACAAAAGGAGCCGGGGAGATGGCTCAGTAGAATAAGCGTTTGCTGGACAAGTGCAAGGGCAAGGGCCTGAATTCAATCCCTGGTTCCGGAAAAAAAAAAAAAGAAAAGAAAAGAAAAAAGAAAGAAAAAGAAATAAAGAAAGAACAAAATAAAAGTAACAAGAGAAAGAAACTCTCCCAACCGCCAAAGATTTCTTCTTAGGGAAAGACGAGGACTGAATCTTTGCGACATTAATGACTTTCTCTGCAAGGTTCCTGATGTGACATATGTCATCTGTCAAGTATGTACATGTAAAGAAAAACACACCGACATACGCCTGATCCAGGACTTTGACTCCTTTCTTTTATGAACTACTGTGTGTGTGTGTGTGTGTGTGTGTGTGTGTGTGTGTGTTTCTAATAGCGACAGAACAAGGGGAATCGGTTTAAATTAGAGATGGAGATTGAGGCCACTCCCAAGGGGACAACTTCTTAGCCGGTTAAGAGACACTGGGGGACGATACTGAGATGGGCTATGAAAGATCGATTCTCCTGAGAGCTCTAAGAACGATCAAGTACACTACGACGAGCTGGTGTTTCCTTAGCAGGGGGCAGGGGGCTGGATCCGACGGGCTGTTCATCCGTGGCCGCGCCCCAGGGTGCCCGTGCGCGGGCGGAAGGGCCGAGGACGCCGGCGGGTGAGCGCAGGCCCCTTTAAGAGGGGAGGCGGTGGCGGCGCGCGCTCCGACGGCTGCCTTAGCCCCGCCTCTTCCCGTGAGCCCTCGGGGAGTGGTCTGACCGAGGGCGGCTGCCGGTGAGCGCAGGGGCAGGGGGCGGGGGAGACATGGCTCGGCGCGGCTGGCGGCAGGCGCCCCTCCACCGCGGTGTCGGCGTCGGGCCCCGAGCCCGGCCGCTCATGCGGCCGCTCTGCTTGCTCCTCGCAGTGGGCGTCTTTGGTTGGGCCGGGGCTTCGGACGGCGCCGGCGAAGCAGCGAGAGCCATGGACGAGGAGATCGTGTCCGAGAAGCAGGCGGAGGAGAGCCACCGGCAGGACAGCGCCAACCTGCTCATCTTCATCCTGCTGCTCACCCTCACCATTCTCACGATCTGGCTCTTCAAGCACCGGCGGGCCCGCTTCCTGCATGAGACCGGCCTGGCTATGATTTATGGCAAGTGCCTCAACCTCTGGCCGCCCCCTGGCGCTGTCCCTTTCTCTGCCCGCCGGCTGCTTCGCCTCCTCTCCTAGCCCTCCTTGGCCTACATTCAGTTCCCCTTCGATTCCCTTCATTTTCTGCCTCGCCTTACCACCCTCACCCCCGCGCCTCGCCTCTCTCTGCCTCATCTCTTCTTTATTTCTGCTACACCCCCCCCCCGTTTCTTTACCTTACCTCAAGCCCTCGCCACCCCTTATTTTCTTGGCCTCTCCACACCTTTCCTTTGCCTCCGACCCCACCCCCTTCTCTTTCCACCCCACTCCCCCACCTTTGCCTAGGGAGCTCGGGACTTGGACCGGGTCGTGTATGGGAAGGGAGTGGGTGGGGTGTCTCACACTGGGCTGGGGGAGGGGAAGACACCGTTTCGATCTATTTCTCTGGGGTGTCAGTTTGTTTGAGGTTCATGGAAACTGCAGTAGCACCTTTGCTGCCCAGTATTCTTTAGGAACCAAAGTCGACCTTTACTTGTTACCCAGCTCTTAAGATGCCTGTCCTATGAAGGTTGAAAATGAAAACCTTACTCCTCTGGAGCCCAAGCAAAATAAAACCCTGAAATGTGACACAGGTTTGGGGCATTTTAAATGACGCCCTGATGTTCTGTACTGTGCTTGGAATATCTGATGTGGATACATATGGGTGACCCTGCTCATTCAGGCTTACAGAACTGAGGACAAGGAAGAGTTATGGTTCTCTCAGCAATCTGTTGTACTATATCCACGATGATCAGGGCAGGTCAACCCAGAAGTAATTAACAAGCACCATGCATATGCAGTATGGGTGTTTTGCTGTTGTCACGAGGTTATGACCGATTGAGTGAGTGGCTCCACTTCTTGAGTCGCAGTGGACTTTTTTTTTGAGGTTATTTGTTTGAAGTTTTGGTGACAAGGCACAAAGACTAAATCAAACCACAGGCTCAGAAGCATTTTGAGCCTCACTTGTTTGGGCCTCAAGAAGAGGAAAACAGATATACATATTGCTGACTATCTTAAACTGAGAGTGTGCCTGACGATATGAGGGTGGCAAAAACAGCCCAGTCTGTGCAGTACATGTGTGAAGATTATCTTCATTTAGACAGTCTTAGACAGTAGAGCTTGTTGAGGTTTGACTCTGCGAGTTGCAGATAGGTGGCTGAAGCTTTGGTCCCAAAAGAGTTTTCTCCACTCAACTGCTCCACTCCCCGCCCTTTCCAGTAATTCCAGACTTCTAGAATGTGCATGAATCTCAGTGGTACAAGGAAAGGTATAGTAGTCATGTGCCTCAGGAAGATGCATGAGTACAGACTGATCTCCATTTCTAAGGCAATACAGTTCTAAGCCTGTGCATAAAATCTGCCCGCTCACTAGGATTCCTACTAGTTTTTAGACATACTAGTGTATCTTTTATGTCATAATTTTTATATTTCATTTGGAGACCTCTTAAGGCAGATGAGCGAGATAAACTGCACAGTTTTATATCTTTTCTCTGTGTGACAGTGTGATTTATTCACTGTCCTCAACAGATGTTTACTGATCAGTCTAATAATTGTTAACATAGGACCTTTGCCTTCAAGAACTTATAGGTAAGTGAGAAAAAGGAGAAATGACATTTTAGACTTGGTTAAATGCCAAAATAATGAACAGATCACAGATATCTCTTTGCTATATAGGCAGAGAGATAGTATGATGTGACACTGAAAGGTGCGAGGCTTTGATCAGAGGTGAGCAGTTTTTTTTTTTTTTTTTTTTTAGGAAAAGACCTAAAAAATAGTAAAGATTATTGACTTTACAGGTCATACAGATCTCCGTATCAGTGTTACACTTTATTCTTTATTGTTATTTTCTTTTCATAAACTTTTTTTTTTTAGTTCTTTTTTTTTTAATTTTTATTTATTTATTTATTTGAGAGAGAGAGAGAGAGAGAGAGAGAGAGAGAGAGAGAGAGAGAGAGAGCCCACCAGGGGGCGGGCTGGCTGGCATGTGGTGCTGGGGGATTGAACCGCGGTCCCTGATGCTTTTGCTAAGCTTGTTCTAAGTAGGTGCTTTAGACCACTGAGCCATCTCTCCAGCCCCTCATAAACTTTTACAATGTAAAAGCTACTTTTAGTTCTAGGGCCATAAACAATCAGAGGACAATAATTTTAAACCCCTACCTTTAGGAGCAGACCTGAATCCCATCTCACTGTGCTGATAGTGATACATGGTCTCAGTCAACAGTCTCTTCTTACCCTCATCTATGTCTTGGGGATAATGATTGTGGGATTACTCTGTGGAAGAAATGTTTTAGCTTGGTACTTGACCCTGAAGTAAATGCTCAATAAATGATACCTGCTGCTGCTATTGTTGTTACAGTTAAAAACTGCATTTTCACAGGTTAGTGTCAGTTCTTTTAATAATAGTATTATAAATTAAGAGACTAAGGTTTTTTTTTTTTAAATCACATAGGCACTTTGAATTACCCTAAAATTATTTGTCTTCAGGGCTAGTATCATTCATTTTATCTAACTTGTGGTCTAAAGTAGAAGAATAGGATTTCTTTCTCTTCTTTTTTGATGCAGGGTCTCATTCTGCAGAGCAGGATGGCCTGAAATTCACTATGCAGTGCAGGTTGGCCTTCAACTCTCAGTGACCCGCTTGCCTCAGCCTCCCAAGTGCTGGGATTACAAGTGTGCACCACCACTGGGAAAAATAGAATTTATGATTGCATTTCCTTAAGTTTCTAATGTAATAGAAAGCGAAAGAGGGCCTCAGTGATAGTGTTCTGTGAAGGAAAAGCAAGAGTGTCTCCTGGAGTAGAAAGCCTGAGAGGTACACTGGGAGTCCGTCTGAGATTCGGTTGGCATTTTCTAGTCTGTGCCCTTTTCTCAGTATGTGCAGTGGAGGCTGTGAACTGAACTAACTCCCAAGCCCGGTTCACAACTATATGGGAATGGGGCAAAGTATTTTTTTTGTGGCTGGCTCAGCCTGCCCTGGGTGTGGGGCTGGCATGGCATGTGGTGCCCGTGATCAAACTGCGGTCTCTGTGCTCTCGCCTAAGCTTGCCTAAGCAGGTGCTTTAGACCACTGAGCTATCTCACTGGCCCCCAAAGTATTGTCAATACTATAGAAATTGCAGTTTTCTAATCCTAGTTGCTGTCTTACCTTTTGTTAATGACTCTTCCATTGCCATTGGTATGCTACTATATTAAGACCTTCAGTTTTCAGCGTGACTTCTCTGTGAAAAGAGAATGCCTACACCTCCACGATTCAGCCTACTGGTGATCTGATTCTTGTAGTGTTGGGTTAGCTACTTAACTCCTGGAGAAATGCTATTTAAAATAAGCCTTTCTTTTATCGTTTTGAGAAGCCAGGGTAAAATTTTTAAAATCGCTAATGTGGTCAGTTTCTAGACTGTAATATAGACTAATTGCTCCAATTGCAAACATAATCTCAAAACACCCACATGGTTTGTACAGTGGGCTAGCTTTCTTAAGAAGCTTAAAAGTGAGTCACTGTTAGTAAAAATTGTTGAGTTAGCTAATTAAATCTGAAAAGTGATCCCTCACGTTCCTGTGTTTACAAATCATATAAAAAGCGAGAGGTGGAAGAATATTTGTTTAGCCTTGAGTTTGGTGAATCCAGGATCCTAGGCTTAACCAATGTAATTCTACAATAAGCATTTTTCAAGTCTGTGATGTCTGCGATATGATGGGAAAAACAGGTATGAGCTATAGTTCCTGCCCACAGAGCACTTACAGTCTAGAGACTTAATAGATATCTTATTGAGCTTTAGAGTGTATTAGACATTGTACTAGGGACCTCACAAGTATTTCATTTAAAGTTCATAATAACTCTATTGCTTTTCCCATTTTTCAGTTGAAGAAATTGGGACTCAGAGAGGTTAAGTGACCTACTTGAAGTCACATAACTTGTGCTTAGCCAAATCAGTATGGTTCAGAAGCTCTATTCTCTGACTAACCCACATTGCCTCTCATTGACAAGATAAAACTTAACTATAAAGCCAATATAGAGTAGTATTATCATACAGCATCCTAGGAAACTGAGGTTCCATTAATAGATGATCTAAACTAGAACTCAGTGGAGCCAGAAGTTATTTACCTTTTTGACTTCTAAACCTGTGCTTTTTTTCCTGCATGGTACTGTACTAAATTTCATGCTGTCAAATATAGAAGATAATGCTTAAAGCTGTACAGCTTTTGAAGGTAGATTGTGAGGGAGTGGAGACATATACCGTTCTGGTTGTCCCGAGAACCACCAGAGTATCTTACTGATCTGACAGTGAGGAGATGATAACAATTAGGAAATCAAGATTTCAGTTCTGGCTTTTCCACTTGATGACGGGTAATTTTGGGTAAGTCATTTATCCCCACTCTAAAAAAGAGGAAGCAATGTAGGAGAAATTTAGGCATCTTTGGTTTCTTTTTCGGTACTGGGGATCAAACTCAGGACCTTGCACTTGCCAGACAGGTGTTTTTGCCACAGAGCTATCTCCCTGGCCCTAGCCATCTTTGTGAGATTACAACCAAGTAAGTTCCTTTCTTTTCAGAAACAGGACTAGAAGGGTTCCGTGGAAAAGTTTTATTTTTCCCAAGAGGGAGTTTAATAAGAGAAATGAACTTTTATATTCAGATGGAATATAGGCAGCCTGGAAATGAGGCAGCCTGTCTTAGGTGGCCCTCAGCTTTTCGGAAAAGTAGGCAGTGGGGCTGGGGACTTGAAAAGAAGGTTAAAGTTTGGAGGAACCACTGTTGGGAATATGTCTGGAGACAATGAGATGAATAAATGCACGTCAGACTAGCAGAGGTCAGCAGAAGCCTTGGCTTCTCTGGCTATTTTGAAATCGAATTAGTTTTTTAACAATGTTCTTCAAGTAATGAATGTTTTATTTATACACATGCACCAAAGCTTCTTAATCTCTAGCCTTTTTCTCAGCGATGTTCCTTGCACGTTTTTGAATGTCAGAGGCTTCATTTGTGATAGGTGCCAAGAATGGGCTGGAGTCCCTGGGAAAAGCCAGTTTCTGCTGACTGGGAGCATTGTACAAAGGTGGGGCCTTGGGCAATGGCGAGTTCCTTATCGCTCCCCTGAAGAATTTTCAGTGCCAGTGGGTCATGAGAGTGTGGGTGAGGCCGACTTCTCTGTTTTGTGAAATATACCTCTTTGTGGTTGTCTTCTTTGTTGCCTGGGAGTGGTGATTTTAAAATTCATAGTATCAATATTTTCTGTGTCTCTGTGTATGTAGGCGGGCTGGAGATTTCTGCTTTATCTTTCTAACAAAGCACTCCTTTTGTGTCCTTTCTCTTTACTGAGAATTGCTTTATCTCCATGGTTGGGATTTGACCTTTTACAGAATCCATAGTAACTTGAGCTGTTAACTTTTTTTCACAGAAATTCTGATTTTTCAGATGCCTGATACCATAATAAAAGGATCCTGATGTTTTTCCACCTAAGTAATTATTCTCCATTCTCTTGCTTCATCTGCCCAAGAGCTGAGCCCTCCTGGGGCTCTCAATAAGGTTTCAGCATAGGGCCTTCCATGCGGAAGCCTAGTTAGTGGATGTGGAAGCCTAGTTCTTGCATAGTTGGACTTAGGCCTGTGGGGAGGAATTCATGGTACTGTTAGTAGTATTTGGAGCAACATATCCATGATTTTTACATCTCAATATAAGGAAATATCTTTCATTGAGGCTTTTAATTAGGAAAATTTGTGGGGTGGTAGAGAAAAGAATTGTTTGTGGGTCATGGCTGTGGAATGACTCCATGGATCCATAGCCTTTTTCCTCTCAGGTTATCTCTGTCAAACACACTTGCTACCCAGTAGGAACATTATAAATTTGGGGGGGAGGTAAAATGTTTCAGAATGAAACTTTTATTTTATATGTGAATTTTAGCTAAACTTTTTTAAAAAATTGACATCATTAAAAAAAATTGACGTCATTGTACTGTTTCGCAATTCATGGTTGCCACTTCCTCTCAAAACTGCGTGGCTCTTAAGTTGATTGGAAGAATCCCTGAGCCCTTCTACCCTCTTCCCCAGCCAGCTATTACTTTTGTGCCCGCTTGTTTCTGCTGCACTCCTTCCTACTGTGGTCTGCCTCTAACCCTACCCCACTACTCCACTGGAGTTGGCTTTAGGCAAGGTTGCTCTTGTCCTTGTTCCCAGCCCCAGTGCGTACATCACATGCCTGCCTGCCTGCCTTAGACTTGGTTGCAGCACTCTGCTGGTTTATATCACTTTCTCCACAGTGAATTTTTATTGTCTTACTGAATTTGTAGCTACCACCCATTTGTCTTTCTAATTATTCATGTGGCTTTTCCTCCTTAGATTCATTCATTCATCAGTTCCCCTATCGGCTCCTCAGTGTGTACTATTAGTGGATGAAACCCCAGGGTTATACCTGTAGCTTTCTGCCCATTTTATCCGCTCCCAGGTGATCTCATCTACACCTGAATTCCACTGCTTTGCTCTTGCATCGGAGACACTATCATCTCCAGTTCCGCATACTCAACTGAGCGTTTGTCACAGACACATCAAACTCAGCACATCCAGCACTGCACGTAGCCTTTTCCCCTGTAGCTCTCTTCTGCCTCTTCCTACTTCATTCGGCAGCTTTGCTCTCCCACCTAGCTGCTCAGGCCAACTTAGCCACCTGGTTAGCAGGCCAACAAAGCCCCTCTTTGCCTCCGTCTTTTATCTCCCTTTCCCCCAGTCTGTCCTCAGTCACCAGTTTTTCTAAAGTGTAGTACCTTCCTTCTGAAGCCCCTTTGTTCCATTGACCACTCTTGTAGATCAGGACTGACACTCTTATTGCCTGAGTGATTGCAGTGCCATGTAGTTGACTGTTTGGATCCTCTCTAGTCTAGACTTGTCTTTCTTAACTGCATATATACTACCCCCAATGGCATGTCTTTAGATATTAATCTCTAAACCCAGAGCTCCTACATAGCATATTCACATTTTTTAAAAAAGTTAGTGCTAGGGATTGAACACAGGGTGGCTGCACTGAACTATGTTCCTTATCCTTTTTTTAAAAAATTGGAACAGGGCCTCACTAAATTGCTAAGTTTCCCAGTCTGTGCTTGAAATTGCAGTCCTCCTGCCTCTGCCTTCCTGTGTATTGGGATTATAGGAATGTGCCATCATATCTGGCTTCCATTCACATTTTGAGAAAGAATGGCTGATGGGTCAAATTGAGAAGCCACATGACTATAAAGTATAGCCAGTAGTGAGATATTGTGCATCTTGGCAATAAAGAAATGTCTGGAGGGTTAGGTTCAGTTTGTATCCATACAGTCGGATAATGTTTGGCCATAAAAATGATTGAAGTTCAGATGCATAGCACAACATGGGTAAATCTTAAAAACATTACATTAAGTGAAAGAAGCCAGACACAAAAGATGATTTACATGGAATGTCCAGAATAGGCAAAGACACAGAGAGAGTAGATTAGATTTTGCTAGAAGCTGGGGGTTTGGTGATGCAGACATATTCTAATTCATTTTTGGAGTGGTGAAAGTGTTCTAGACATGGTGATGATTGATATATAACTTTGTGAGTACATTAAAGACCACTGACTTGTACAGTATAAAAGAATAAGCTTTATACAGTGGTGCCTTGCTTCATGAGCTTAATGTGTTCTACAATTTTGGAAAAGATGGCCACATTTGTGTTTGTGCAGGAAAGATGGCCACAGTTTTATGTTTTGCCTGATGCAGAGTTTGCAAACAGGAACAAAATTTTGCCAGACTCTTCTGTTTGCAAACCAAATTGTTTGCAGACAGAAGCATTCATGAACCAAGGTACCACTGTAATATGTGAGTTATATTTCAGTAAGTTATTAAACAGTTGATAAATATTGTTTGATAGAACCTAGAAATGTTTTGATTTCGTAGCACCAGATACAGGACTTGCGTTCCATGCTTTAATTTTCAAGCAGATATTTTAAAATTTAAATCTGACCTTTTAGTAGTAGAAGAATTCAATCAATCTACAAATAACATATTGACTTTCCAATTCGTTAAATGTATATTCTTTGGCCAGCCACGTGCTTTGGGAATAAACCTGGGAAGCATATGCATTTAAGTCTTGTAAATTGATGAATGGAGATTCTAAAAATACATTTCTAACATGATTACACTGAGAGATTGAGACTTCTTGGAACATATTCTATGTACAGCTGATTTGAAGGTATTTTCTCATTTTGTTACTGTTCTCATCACTTTTTTATATATTGACCTAGAAATGTAATGATCTATGCAATTACCAGAGAGGATGTTTTTCCCTCCTGACTCATTAGATTAATGAAGATTGGGCTCTTGGATGTGTGCATTTAGTAGTATAGTACTTTTTAAAATGGTAACTATATTTGGACTAAAAATTGGTTCTTAACCAATTCATCTGAATCTCAATGGAGATTTTCTGTTGTCATTCCAGAGGCATTTGTGGGGCACAAATATGGGGTCTCTGTCTACCAGAAATGCTTACATTATTGTTTTATTTCCAGGTCTCCTGGTGGGCCTTGTGCTTCGGTATGGCATTCATGTTCCAAGTGATGTGAATAATGTGACCCTGAGCTGCGAAGTGCAGTCAAGTCCAACTACCCTGTTGGTAAACGTTAGTGGAAAATTTTATGAGTATACTCTGAAAGGAGAGATTAGTTCACATGAACTCAATAATGTCCAAGATAACGAAATGCTTAGAAAGGTAAGTTTTTAGCTAAAGGGGATCATTGTTTTCTCAAGTGTGTAACTAGCAGCAGAGTGACTTGGAAGAAAAATAATGAATTTTTAATATTTAAAATGGCTTGTCTTTTAAAATGATGTTACACCCCAGTTAATTACTGTAATAATGTAAAGAAATAGATATTTCTAGAAATGGTATTTTCTGATTGAGGCTAAGTACTATAACCCTTTTTTGGTTCCCCTTTTGTTGTGTATAATTGTAATAAATAATGACCAATATTGAGTTAAGTAGAAATTATTGGCAGTTTTTTCAATGCTTGTACTCCTTACAATTTTAGAGTATTTCAGCTCATCAGCTTTATTTGACATTACCTAAAATAGTACATTAGTATTTCTTCGGAGTTCTTTCTTATCTGCGTTTTATGCAGAACACAATTTAACCTTTCTTAAGTTCATAATCTAGCACAATTTTAGGGGTCTTTGTGTGAACCTCAGTTGTACCATGCTGTACATAAGGCCTGATGGCTCTTTGTTTTTCCCAATCCTTGGTATTTGCCTCCATAGTACTTCTCCTGGCTCCTACACTGGCAGGACTTGGCTTTTATAACTACCTGATTGTATTCCTGGTGACCTTTAATATTTTCAAAATTTCCTATGAATTTCATTTACTTTGCAGTGAGTTCTCACCATCTGTGGAAAATTCTTGTTACGTAAAAGTTGTAGCCAAACTAAGTTTCAGCATGTGTGTCTGTTGCTGACCACTTTGTATCCATATGAAATTCTGTTGTGACCTTATTATGAACCAACAGGGGCATCTGTTTAATTAAAGTGAATAGATTTTAAAGTGAGTGAACTGTAGAAGTCAGAGTTGCGCAGAATGTTTTTATGTAATGTTATATAGCTTTACCAATTTCATCTTTGTAACAAGTCATCTGTGATGGTTGCCAAGTTCCCTCTTGGCAGCTGTCATTGCATACCCATAAGGTCTGTTACCAGTTTTGGATCTCTTTCCTTTTGTCTTTCCTGTCTGATCCTATTCTGACCAACCTGTCCTTTCCGCTCCTCTCCCTTCCCCCTTTAGTGCTGGTGATTGAACTCAAGGCCTTCATGCTGAGCTACTTTTCTAGGCCTTGTTTAAAATTTATTTTTTGAGTTAGGATCTTGCTGAGTCACTAAGTTGTCTCGGCTAGGCTTGAACTTGCTATCTTCCTGCTTCTGCCTGCCAGTGCTCTAAGATCATAGGCATGGACCACTCTGCCCAGCTTGGATCTCTTTTGCTTAAAGCTAAGATATGTAAATATTATCTCCTGTTTTAAAGATTTTTCACATAGTATTTTAACAGTTTTCACAGAAATGGCTTAATTGTTCAACCCTACCTCTGTGTCATGTGATTAAGAAGTAGAACAACAAAAGTTATCTTATAGGAAACCTTTTACAGGAGGAAACACACAAAATCTATTATATGCCTAAGGCAGAGAAGTAATAGACCCTTTTACATGAAAGTTTTTCTAAGTTGCCATAGTAATGTTCTTAGCATTGGCTACCTTAAAATGTAATCTTCTATTTTTCTTTTTCATAATGTGTTAATGTAGTATAAGGTTTTCTAAGGGAATTAATCTAAGGAGCTCTTTTATTTTAACAGGTTACTTTTGATCCAGAAGTATTTTTCAACATATTACTTCCTCCTATTATATTTTATGCAGGATATAGTCTCAAAAGGGTAAGTACTTCTGCATGTTACATATTATAAATAGCCTAAATTTCCCAGGGGGTTTTATATATTTAATAGTAAAAAAGAAATCATTTCTTTCCAGGGTCTCTTTCCTTCTCTCCTAATGTTTTTTAGATGCTGAAATTTTCATGTGTATAAGATACTTTCTTGTACTGATTTCTTTTAGTAGTAAACAATGTGTTTAATACATTGGCGTAGCACACTAGAATAGAAAGCCTTTCCTTGGTCAAACATTTGGTAAGTATTCTATTACAGTGTACCTTTTTTCCCCTTACCAGAGACATTTCTTCCGGAACCTCGGATCTATCCTAGCATATGCTTTTCTTGGAACAGCAATTTCTTGTTTTGTTATTGGGTAAGCATTTGAAGCTTGAGCTGTTTTTATCCTTCAAATTATAATTCTAAAGTGATATGTTTTTGCTTATGTAGTATTGTATTCCTGAACATGTCTGTAGACTTTTGCAGTAAAATGCATTTACATAGGTAATATGCTGTTTGAATTGTCCTTAAAGCTAAGGTTAACCCTGTTTAAATGCTATGAGTTACACTTGGGATTAATCACAGAATAGTGCAGTAGATCCATCTTTTGAGGATGTATAGAGAGGCGCTGAGGATGTAACCCAGGATTAGTTATACTGACCTACACCCATAGCCCTAGATCCATCTTCTCTTCTTACTTTATTTTAACTCCGTTAGCAGTTGTTACGTTTGCTAAAGTAAGAATGCATTTATTGAACAGGTCGATAATGTACGGCTGTGTAATGCTGATGAAAGTAACTGGACAACTCGCGGGAGATTTTTACTTTACAGATTGCCTGCTATTTGGTGCCATCGTATCAGCGACAGACCCAGGTATGTTTTACAGAGGTGGAGCTGGAATACTTTTCCAGTAAAAGCATATGTGGGTGTTTCTTTGAAGTATAGAATTTTTAAGTACTTTCCTAGCACTATACCTTGCAACTGTGGGGGAAGTAGTTCATTTTTCCTTTTAGTTTAAAATGTTCCTGTGGGCTTGAATTACTCTTGGCACAGGGGTACAGTCATGCGTGTGCTGCCAATGGTTCAAGCTTCCTGGCAGTGAGGCATATGGAGTGCAGCCCTACTGTGAACCTGTTAAGCATGCATTTATGTTTTCACTTCACTTCTTCATTATTGTTGCTTCTTACTGGTCTGTAAGTTTATGTTGTCTATATGACATCTCTAAGACATTTGATTTAGAAATTTTGATTGGTCTCCCTAGTGATGGGACATAGAAGATGAGCTAGGTTATATATTTGTTTAAAAGGCTCTCAATTACACATTCTTTTAAACTTACTGAAAAACCAAGTCCCTAAAAATCTTTTGTTTATATTCACCTATTTGCATTTGACAGTAAGAAAAGAAGTTTTTGAATGATTGCTATAAGGCACCTGTGTCAATCCAGGCATGATTTTGGGTCCTAGGTGGTCTTTAGTATGCACTAAATAATTATTTTTTATACATTGGCCTTGTGGTTTTGAATCTTTCGGTATCAGCACCATTTGCTCCTCTGCAATTTTAGTGTCACACCTCTATAAATTGTGTTATGGAATAAATTTAATTGTATTGAGTAAGGTTTTCATTTTGTAATGTAATGTTGGTAAGCTTAATAGCTACATTTAAATTGGAAATTTGGGGAAAATATAGGATGAAGCGTTCAGGATAGGAACAAACACTGATGTATTGGTATTTGCTTGAAGCCTAGGGTCAGATGCAGGGCCTTACATATTCTAGGCAAGCATGCTCCCGCTGACTTATACCCTTAGGTCTGCTAAGTCTGAAAGATAAAAGTTTGTTTTTTTTTTAACTGTGAATTAGGACTTTGGTGGAGGTTTGTTCTGTTTTACCTTTTGACCTTGTAAGTTAATCATCTTCTTTAATTGTCATCTAGTAGAGTTAACGGTAGGATCTTAAGATTATCTCTGAATTCCTGTTAACTCTGATAACACATGGCATCATGGGAAGAGGAAAATAAATTCTGGACTGTTCAGAGATGATTTGCAGAGATTACTCAGAGAGCCATTTGTGTAGTTTAGTCATTTTTAGTGCTAGAAATCAAATCAGTTTCTTAAAGACCACAAAGGCTTTCCCCTTCATGCTTAAAGCTGCTCCCATTATCAGTTTGAAGGTAGGAGGGAAGTTTTTGTAAGCAGTCAGTGGCCTCTGGTATTTGTGTTCTCTTCACGAGGAGCAAGCTCCTCAATTTCTCGGTGTGTGAAAAATCAGAGTCAGTTAGGCTGTCTGGCTTAGTCAGTCAGCCTTCTGGTTTTGTCTTAGCAGTATTATCCGAAAAGCTCACGCAACAGTCTTGTTTATATCAACTTGGAGAGTACAGTTTTTCTAAATTATGTAGGTACTTGCTCTAATTCTGTTATTTTGGATTTATTAACTTTCTAGGAATATGAGCTCTTGGTTTTCTTTTTAGAATTCTGCAGCATTGCTTCACTGTTCCCTTTCTTTGGTGAGCTTTGGTATTGGTATATTCTAGCTGCAATGTTTTGCAGTAGAAATTGTATCTTAAAAGTTTTGTTTTCCTCGTTGGCATTTGAAAAGGCTGTCCCTTCTCTGGTTGTATTAGTGTTTCATGTTTACTTGGTTTTATTTAGTTGGTGAGCTGTATGTGACTCAGCAATTCAAGTTATAATGCAACTTCTCAAGCTTATCTGATTTTTTAAGGGTTCAATATAATTGCTTGTGTAAAAGAAGCATTTATTTTTGTGGTTCTTTTTCCTTCTCAAGCTATAATATCCTAGTAGTTAGATTCTTCAGTTAAATATGGCAGCTGTAATTCTGGGCATAAGTTTTTAATCTAACTCCAAAACCGAACCTGTATTTTCCGACTGTGTTCTCTACACGTACTACTGTGTTTGTTGAACTTGTGTGTTTGCAAGGCTCTAATGTTGTGAATTGTAAGGCTCTAAGAAAAAATAGTTTGAAGTAGAAGATGCTTTTTTTGAGGCAGGGTCTTGCTTTGTAGCCCAGCGTGGTGTTGAACTCCCTGTGTAGCCCAGCCTAGCCTTGAATTGCAGGTGGTCCTCTTGCCTCCACCTCCTGAGTGCTGGGATTACAAGTATGTGCCACCACACTTGGCAGAAGTAGAAAATACTTTCTGTTATTCTTTATTAGAGATTAACGATTAGCTGATCTGTAAGAAATTCTGAATATATTCTTTATGGAAAAACACTGTAGAAAACTGGCTCGTTAACACTTACATGAAGAATCTGTGCCAGCTTAGCCCTCCAAGGTTATTTTCAACTGTTTTTAAGAGAGAAAGAAGATATTGTGTGTATGTAATTAAGGGGAAAATATTGACATAAAATCACTGAATCTTTAATATGGTGAAAGAACATTAAAGAGGTAAGAATAAATTTCTAAATCATGTACAACCATTTATTAAAGGGGATATTTTGTATCTGTAATGTCTAACCATTCCTCTGACTCTTTCTACTTGCTAGTGACTGTTCTTGCCATATTCCATGAGCTTCAAGTTGACGTTGAACTCTATGCTCTTCTGTTTGGTGAAAGTGTCCTCAATGATGCCGTTGCCATAGTGCTGTCCTCGTAAGTGATTTGTTATTATAGTCTGCATTGTACAAGCAGGGGTACTAGGAATTGAAAGTTACCTGTTGAGTAAAATACATTATGAATAGTTGTATTTGGAAGGCTAAATTTCTTTTTTGCAGAAATATGTACTTTATAAATGACTTGGAAAATTTGGGGAAGAAAAAAAAAAATACTAAGCATCTCATGACCTAAAATCAATTACTCTAAACATTCTAGGGCATTTCCTTTTATTTGTTTCTTTGTGTGTGGTATTTTTATATATGGTGATTATATTGACTATATAACTGTGTAATCTCTATTAACATTATAATATGACCACTTTAATAAATTAATTTTTGAGCAAATAATACACTCAAATGGTTCACAAATTAAAACTATATAAAAACGTTTATACATAAAAATTACTTCCTCTTGAAGTATATAACATGATGTTTTACCATGCGTAGTGAAATAATTGCTACAGTTAAGCTAATCAACATATCCAGTTCTTTACATACTACTGTTTTTTAATGTATTCGTTTGCTACAGCTCTCACTACATAGCTTGGACTCATCAGTGATCCTTGTGTTTTCAGCCTCCGCAGTGCTGGCATTACAGACGTATACCACTATGGCTGGACTCTGTGGCTGGGTCAGCCAGCCCTGGGGGTGGGACTGGCATGGCATGTGGTGCCAGGGATCAAAACATGGACCCTGTGCTTGCCTAAGCTTGTCTAAGCAGGTGCTTTAGTCCATTGAGCTATCTTGCAAACCTATGTTTTTTGAGCACTTCAAATCCAGCTCCCTACTGATGGATGAATGGATAAACAGAATGTTCTATAGTCATACAATAGTTTTTGTAATGGGTTCTGACTCATATATTGCTCATGCAGGCCTTGAACTGCCAGGCTCAAAAGATCCTCCTGCCTCAGTCTCCTAAGTACTACTATTCCCAGTTTTACAATGGACTATTATTTAGCCATAAAAGGCAATGAAGTTCTGATACTTGGTATAACATGGATGAAACTTGAACACAATTTGATAAGTGAAATAAATAAGTTAGACATTACTTTCTAGGTGTGGTGGCACATGCCTGTAATACCAGCACTTGAGAGGTTCAGGCAGGAGGATTGCTACAAGCTTAAGGCCAGCCTGGGTTACGTAGTAAATTCAGGGCCAGCCTGAATTACATAACAAGAACCTGTTTCAAAAAATGAAAATTTTTTGAAAAGTTAAAAAATAAAAATTTCTATGTTACTGTTGTCTTCATCTGTCTCTCCAGCTCCGTAGAGCAAACCATTTTTCTTAGTTTATTTTTTAAATTTAGTACAGGGTATACAGGGTCTCACTACACAGGTCAAACTTGTGGTGATCCTCCTGTTTTCAGCCTCCCAAGCACTGGGATTACAGACACATGCCACCATGCCCAGTCGCAGTTGCCTTTCAGCGTGCCCCTGGGGGTGGGGCTGGCACAGCACTCTGGGGATCACACCGCAGTCTCTGTGCCTGCCTTTAGTCCGCTGAGCTATCTGGCTGGCCCTTATTAGTTTGTTTCTTAGTGTTGATTAAGATGCAAGTACAAATATGACTAAATACTATTATTTGCCTTACATTTTTTGTTTTCTGGTGCTGGAGATTAAACTCAGGACCTCACACATGCTAGGCAAGTGTTGTACCACTGAGCTATACCTCTCACCCCTCATTTCTTATTTATGTATGACAGCATAAATCTATTCTGGTGATATTTCCCCATCAGAAGTGTATAGATTTCTGTCCTGTGTAGTTCATGTATAAATTGTATTACAGTTTTGCTTAGTCCCTTGTACTAAATCCTTGAAGAGTTTTCAGTCCTTTGCTGTCCCAAATGATGCTACACTGATTATCTTTAAGCTTTCTTAATTTTATAATACATAGGTATATGCTAGGCTAAATTCTCAGAAGTGATATAGGTGGTTGGTTTAATGTAATCACATTTTTAAATTATGTTAAATATTGCTAAATTGCCTGGAATTGTGCCACTTTACACTTTAACCATCAAATTATGGGATGGTCTATTACTTCACAGTTTCAATAACAGAGTACTTGTCAAATTGTCATATTTTTACTCCTTGATAATTGAAAAGTATTTCATTGTAGTTTTCATTTGTGTTTCTCTTTTAACATAAACATTTCAGAAACTGTGTTTAGCAGTGTTAAGTAATACACCTTTATTTTTTTTTGTTTTTATTTTTTTTTATTTTTCAACAAATAATACACTGCATATATTCTTCTTAGTGGTTAATTGCTGTACAAGATGCGGACTTGTGATCCTATTTACAAACACCATTAGAACAAATCATTCTATTCATTAACAGAATGTAACTATATATCTATCCCAAATACACCTTTATTGAAGACAGTTACTGAGTAATATCTTTTAACTAAATATAGAAATTACACATTATTACAAGATGTTGGCAGGTGGAAGAATGGTTCTGAGCCACTGAGGATCTCAATTCTTCCTAGCTATTCACTCTTACTAAGCAAATATCTAACCTTATAGACAGTTGACTTTACTTCATACCAGAACTTTGTGTAAAAGAAGAGTAAGAGCACTTCTCACTTTCTCTTTATTTTATTGTTTTTATTCTACTTTGTTACCCAAAGCACTGACTGGTTTACATAGCCTGATTGTCCCTGTGACCTTACTGCAAAGTGGGAAGTTATTCTTTCTGAGATATAATATGAATTCCTTAGATGTTATATATCATAATATATAAAAGATCATCCCCCTTTTAGGTCCTCAGAACTGAACTCAGGACCTTGTACTTGCTAGCAGGCGTTGTGTTGCTGAGCTACATCCCCAGCCATAAATCCATTTTTGTGAATGCAATTTACATTTTACACTTTTTTCTCCTATATTTAGCACTAGAACTTTTCTGCAGCTATCTACAACCTAAATTTAAGAAATAAAATGAAAAAGCTATAATGAATATTGACAGTGAATGAAGGTGCCTTCAATGAAGATAGATACACAATAAAAGTTGGATATCAAGGCCAGTGAAATAGCTCAACAGACTAGGCTCCTGGTTAGGCAAGCGCAGGGACCAGGGTTTGATCCCTGGCACCACATGCCTTGTCAGCGCTGCTGCTGGGCACACTGAGCCGGCCACCAAAACCAGGCCTGGTGGTGCATGCCTGTAATCCCAGCACTGGGGAGGCTGAAAATAGGAGGACCACTGCAGGTCCGAGCTGTGTAGTGAGATCCTGCACCAAATACATTAAAAAAAAGTTGTTGATCATATGAAGGAAGGAAGAAATGAATACTATAATTGTAATTTATGTGTTAGAAGAAAATGATGTTACAAAGATTGTTGAAGCTTATAATCCATAGGTATGTGTGAAATGATCAGCACTGCTACATTAAAAAAAAGAATACGGTACAGGAAGTTACTTATATTTTTCCATGGTGGGCAGTTTACTGTTTAGTCATGTTATGATTAAATGGGTATTTTTTTATTATCGCCCTACTATATTATTAGGGCTGGGGGTATAGCTTAGTGGTATAAGCTCCTGCCTGGCAAGCGAAAGGTCCTGAGTTCAATCCCCAGTAGCACAAAAAAAAATTCAAAATACAATTAAAGGCCTATGATTTAGCTCAGCAGCACAGTGCCTGCCTGGAAGGAAAGCATGAAGTTGTGAATTTGATTTCCAGTAAAAAAAAAAAGAATTAATCAGAAAAATATTATTTTCTGGTCCTATCTTTAAAAAAAAACAAAAATTCAATTTATTAAAAACTTAATGGACAGAAGGGGTAGAAGTCCGTCTTGGCCAGCAGCAAAACAAGATACCTCAATTAGAGACAAGAGGAAGCGGCTTATATGCGAAACTTAACTAAGGCATGTATCAGGCTTTGTCAAGAACTATGGACACATCAGAGGTCAGATAAGAGCCAGTCCAGGTATTGCCAGTGCCTGGCACCAGGTCCTACCTTAAAGTGGTGTACACTGTATCTTAGTTTTTGCATGGAGAAAAGTAATGTATAGTTGATCCTCAAGTTACAACTATCTTCACACATGAATAACTTGAGGTATGATGAGAGTTTTAGGTTTAGCTTACAAATAAAGTCTTGAGTTATAACCTGAATGCTGGCCACTTGTGGGTTGTAAATAAAACTCATGAAGCCAGAAAAGTGTATGTAAACATATGTGTCAGTCTGAGCCCAGATGCTTATATTTGTGGTCAAAATTTTGGTCACTGCTCTATATAATTGCTACTATTACTGCTATCAAAATGGCCCCCAAAAAGCTAGCAAAGAAGCTAAGGAAGGAAAAAAGGTAAAGGAAACAATCACAGTTGAAAAAGAAGAAGGGCATTGTGGAGAAATATGAGAGTGGCATTTGTGTGATCAACCTTACTAATATGTACAGCTTGTCAGTATCCACCATCTCAACCATTTAATGAAGAAAAGATTTGTACTATAAGAAAGCTAGTGTTACTAAGTGTGTTACTCATATTATTAAGTCATGATCAATAGTGATGCATTAGGTAGAAAGGCTATTATTAGTATGAATAAAGGAAAGGCAGATGGCAGATTATAGCCTGAGCCTATAATTTGTGAAAAGGCTAGTGCCACAAATGCAGATTTTAGGATAATCTATCAACAAGTGATAATGCTGAAACATTTTGTGTGAGTGAAGGGTGATTTCACAATTTTAAAACAACCAGGGTTCATAGTATAATAGGCATGGTAAAACAGCCAGTGCAGATAAAAGGAGTGCTAGAAATTCTATATACTTCAAAATGGTGACACAGAGAAATAGCTTCTGCTCTCATCTAGTTTTCAACTGTGATGAAACTGGCCTTTTAGGGGAGAAAATGCCCAGGAGAACATACATTATCCATAAGAAAAAAAAAAAAAACCCAGGCTGCAAGCTTATAAAGGATAGCCTAGCCTTACTGCTATGTGCCAAAGCACACAGTGACCTCAAGATAAATCCTCTTTTGGTCTGTCTCTCTGAGATCCCTAGAGTGTTCAGA